ATCCGTTTTACTTACTGATTTGAACATACACACACATTTTAATATGGTGTGTCTGCACACGTCTCACACGTCTCACACCTCTTTTTACGTCCCCATCCTTTCTAACGTCACACTGCACCAACTTTGATGAAATGTTACTTATTTAATCAAAATAAGGAGTCAAACTTCTTGTTTCGGATGTTTTTGTGACTGATCCTTCATTGTCTGACCACTTCTGTGTTTTCTTTAATATTTCTTTCATTCCTGACACACAATCACATTCAAACACTGTCAAAAAACGGTGCATCAATGAACATACTAATGTACTCTTTAAAAATGTCATCTCCTCGTTACCACCTCTAATCCCATGTCATGCTCATAATCTTGTAAACAACTTTAATTCCAAAATTTTGAATGTCATAGATGACATTGCACCTGTTACGGTTAAAACCAGTTCTAGTAAGCAAAAGGCCCCCAGGAGAAAAGCTGCTGTTGTAACAGCCCAGAGGAGAGAGCGCAGGAAGGCTGAACGAATCTGGCGGAATACAAAACTTCATATTCACCATGACATCTATAGAGAGCGCCTCCGGACCTACAATTTAGACTTAAAAAGTGCTAGGGAAACATTATTCTCCAACATCATTAACAACAATGCTAATAAGGCAAAAACCCTGTTTGAAACTGTTGACAGACTGACCAACCCCCCAACACAAATACCACCAACTCCATTCCACACAGAAATGCAACGAGTTTGCGTTCTTTTATACTGATAAAATTGAAGGCATCAGACGTGCCATTAATATCTCAAACAAAAATGTTGGATCACCACCCTATTTAGGCGAAAGTAACACAGCAATGATGACAAGCTTTAATGCCATAGACTCTCAAACTCTAGTGGAAAGGGTGACAAATTTAAAACCATCCACCTGCTGTCTTGATGCTCTACCTACCAACTTCTTTAAGAATGTTTTTGACTGCCTAGCAACAGACGTATTGCAAATAGTTAATAACTCTATTCAGACAGGCCATTTCCCAAAAGCTTTCAAAACTGCAGTTATTAAACCTCTCCTAAAAAAGCGGAGCCTAGATGCCTCTATTATCAACAACTACAGACCAATTTCAAATCTACCTTTCATAAGTAAAATAATGAGAAAGTACAACAACTTAATCACTTCCTGGCTTCAACTGGCTGCCACGACAATTTCCAGTCAGGATTTCGACCTCTTCATAGAACCGAGACGGCCCTTATTAAAGTTGTAAATGACATCCGTCTTAACACAGACTCTGGCAAAACTTCAATATTAATGCTATTAGACCTCAGTGCTGTATTCGATACTGTCGACCACTCAATACTTTTGGACAGGTTGGAAAACTGGGTGGGGCACAGTCTTAAGCTGGTTCAGGTCATATGTACAAGACAGGAACTATTTTGTTTCCATTGGTGACTTCGTATCAGAAACAACCGACGTAATGTGTGGAGTCCCCCAAGGTTCGATCTTAGGGCCGACTTTATTCAACATCTACATGCTCCCACTAGGACAAATCATGCAAAAAGATTGACCACCATTGCTACGCTGATGACACCCAAATCTATGTAGCGCTATCACCAAACAACTATCGCCCCATAGATCTTCTGTGCCAGTGCATTGAGCAAATCAAAGACTGGATGTGTCAAACTTTCCTACAACTAAATGAAGACAAAACTGAGATCATTGTATTTGGTGCTAAAAAAGAAAGGTTTAAAGTAACCCAACACCTTCACTCTCTGTCCCTGAAAACATCAAATAAAGCCAGAAATCTGGGGGTTATTATGGATTCAGATTTACACTTGGAGAGTCACATCAAATCAGTAACAAAATCGGCCTACTACCACCTCAAAAATGTAGCACGACTTAGAGGGCTCATGTCAGCTCAAGACTTAGAAAGACTTGCACATGCCTTTATAACTAGTAGGCTAGACTATTGTAATGGTCTCCTTGCAGGTCTTCCAAAAAAAACTGTCAGGCAGCTCCAGCTTGTTCAGAACGCTGCTGCTAGAGTTCTAACAAAGACCAAAAAATGTGAGCACATTACACCAATTCTTAAATCCTTACATTTGCTCCCAGTATGTCAGAGAATTAATTTCAAAATCACTGCTCACATATAAATCACTACATGGTTTAGGGCCAAAGTATATCACTGATATGCTTCCACTACATAAGCTTTCAAGATCACTAAGATCTTCTGACACCAATCTGTTAGTGATTCCCAGAGTAAATACAAATCATGGGAAAGCATCATTTAGTTACTACGCAACAAACAGCTGGAACAAACTTCCTGAAGTTTTAAGACTTTAAGCCCCAACTCTGACCACGTTTAAAAAGAGACTGAAAACTTATGTTCAGCTTCGCCTTCTGCTAAATTTTACCTACATTGCACTTTTAACCTCTGCCTTTAATTAAACAATTTAAATAAGATTTTAATTATTAATTTTATTTTCTGTTTTTAATTCCTGCATTTTATTTCACTTTATTGTATGAAATGTTATGATGTGAAGCACTTTGAGTCTGCCTTTTGTATGAAAAGCGCTATACAAATAAAATTGCCTTGCTTTGCCTTAAATTGCTGACAAATCAAGAATAAAAGCAAGTTAGCTATAAGCATGTGGATAAAAATGGATACAAAGTTAGAAAAGTTAGAAAAGTACATATTAAACAGATTAATAAAGAAAATATATACTGTATGTTTATGTATCTGTCCGATACAAAAAACCACACAACTCTCCATCAACAGCAAACCAGAGGAAATGCAAATCATTTCATTCTGTTCGGTTCCTGCTTGAGTGAAACAAACGTGTCGTCCATCTTCTGCCTACTGGTGTTTTTTTAATCTCCACAGCCCGGAACACAACTCGAGTGAAACACGCATCTTCACCCTGAGAAACAATGAGACATTTGTTATTTTCAAGTATCTTATTCTTCTGTTTTGCTTTTATAGCATGGAAATGTGTCTGAGAAGAATTAAAGCAACTGCAAAGTATATAAATACCCCAAATGGGTACAGTCTACTACCTGGCCCTCTATGGTTTGTCCCATCATGTTTGGTCTCTTCTGGAGAGTTTGAGATTCTTTGTCTGCAAACAAAAAAAGATACAGTGTCATTTCAAAATATCTGTTTGCAAATAACGAGATTTAAAGACAGCTTCGCTAAATGTTTACATGAATGATTTAACAAAATCTGATTGGAAACCAAAGCAGTTAAAACACCTGTTTTCTGACCGAAGTGATAAACCAACATGAAGGGGAGGACGGAGGAGAGGACAGCAATAGCTGGACACAGAGAGACCAGCAGAGTCCAACACAGAGGACAGAGACATTCTGGAGTCTGGAGCGGAGAATCGCTGCAGTCTGGACCTGAAACAAAGTTGTGTCAAAAAGCGTCATTAAACTCTGACCCACAACGATGAGACTAAACACTGTATGGATACATGTTGGCACAATAGTCATGTTGATGCTTTAGCTTTGTTCAGAACACAAACAAAATATATATGGGCCTATTTATGTTTTTCTTTATTAAATATATAAACATACAGGCCTTTGGTTCTTGAACAAACCTTTTTGCATGTGCATAAAGCACCAGGAATGAAAACACTGTTGTTTTGACTTGTTTGAATAAAGTTCAGCCGAGATTGTTAAGAATTCAAACTTTTCATTGAGCAGAAAAAGATATATACTATATTGGCATTATTATTTGTGCAGAAATGTCCAAACAATTTAGAATTAAGTGAAATGTCCAACCTTTAATTGTGATGGAGCCTCAGATTTAAAATGTTCAATGATCCCAAACCTTAACATTCATAAAAATACAGTACAGTTCACATTTAAGGATGACCGAGAACTCTTCAGATCCATAAAGTCTCAGATTTGGGAATATAATTACTGGTATAAAGCATTATACTGTTTTATTTCATATTGTCTGTTGTTGATTCCCATAATCTTTCTGTAAGACGTCATATTGACATTTTAATCGTTAATGTAAGTAAATATAGAGCCTGTGTACATTTTCCTTCAAGGTGTTAAATGTTTAGTCAAATCATACAACATAGATCTAACAGGAACAAAGTCAGAGCAGCAAACTTACTGACTGAGATCCTTGTTGTGACGTTTCCGTTTCTGTAAAGAGTTTTGAGGCCAATGAATTCTTTATCCTCCACTTTACCCTCTTCAGTTCCACAGTAGTAGATTCCCTCATCAGAATCAGTGATGTTCATGATCAGCAGGTCATAAGAATTAGAAGAAGAGTTTCTCACAAATTGAAAACGAGGAAGACTTTTCAGAGGATCTTTAGTGTCACTGTCCAGATTGTATGATGATTTGACTTTAAGGACGAGGGATGGGTGGTTCTCATGAGAGCAGTTCCTGTACCACACTATGGATACTCCAGTTGATAGTTTACAATCACAGTAGAGAGTGATGTTGTCTCCTGGTCTGACTGTCACTGATCCAGAGATCCAATCATGACTGCAGGATGCAACTCCTGGAAAACAGAGAAAATGGTAAAAGCAGATTGAAATGTGCTCCGTGTTGGATGATTTCACATTACAGCAGGGGCAGATTTCTGCTCAACACAACAACAATGAGAGCGTAATTAAAACATCCAAAATAAGTCTCCATAGACTTACCTAAGAGAGCGACTAGAAAAGTGTGCAGCCCGTCCATGAGTGATGATGACCGAAAGTTAACAGACAGACTGATTTTACCCAAAGATGTGATGCCTTTGAAGACAACGTGTTCAATGTGATTGGCCAGTCAAGTGGAACATTTTCTTCTGTGGGATCTTTCTATTGGTGCAAAGATGTTTGTGGTATTCTGCGCCTTCCTGCTTCCCGTACGTGATTACTCTGTAACGAACACAATAAGATGAGCCCAACTGAGGGCTTGACATTACACAGCCTTGTATTTCATACACTGTTGTGTTTGTACAGTAGTACGTACAGTATGCTGAGGGGTTTATAGACATGAAGGACCAGAAGTTTACATTCCTCAAAATAAATAAATAAGGACCGTGTTGGATACAGTGAGCTTCATTTACAGTTCCAACAAGTCGCTATAGTGGCCAATTTACTTTATTATTATTATTGCTGTATTTATGCTTTTTTAAAGCATATTTTATTATTATATTAAATGGTCAACACCGTCAAAATGTCTAGTCTCCAACCCAAAATGAAGTTTTACAGAGGACACTATTAGTGACATGTAGCTGGTCTTTGGCTGCTGTGGTAACTCACTCTAATGGTTTACATAGATGATAAACACAGATGAGCTCGCATTCAAAATGTATCTGGAAATTATATTATAACTTTAATGGTTTCTAGTCGCTCATCTCAAACTCATGTTTTTTAAACTGACAGGAGGAGAGCTGGTAATGCTAGCAGCACTGGAGCTAACGGCTAATGTACGTAGGTTTTATTGAGAATATCTCAAAGTGATATTTGCTCCATTTTTTTGTGGATCTGATCTTTGGCTTTAAACACGTGATATGATTGAGATCCGGACGTCTTTTCCTTGTGTTTGTTGTTCTGTTCATGAGAACTGATAAAGAAGTTGTTAGCATTAAGTGCTCGTTAGCATTAAGACAGGCTGTTGCTCTCCGTCCTGCTTCAGAGGCCAAACTGCGTGCAGACGTTCATCATCATCATCATCATCGTTTACAGTCTCTAGAAAGATCTATAAGAAGAGGCCAAGTATCAATGATTACCAAAAAGACCGTTCATGGCTCTTCTAAAAAATGAGACAAAGGATTATTTTGGAGGTTTGACCACCTAAACACAACAACAGGAGACGTGTGTTGGTCTACGTTCACACACATCATCTCAGAGGACGTGTCAAAGCTTCATGGTGGGAACTATCAAACACACTTGTCTTTACATTGGGGCTGGAACACGGTGTGATATTACTGATGCTGTGGTTGCAGTGGTACCGCTATGTGCGTGTGTGTCTACACATGCCTGCATTGACGTTCACACTTCATGCTGTTTCCTCGTTCAGCCTCTGATTCTCTGTTGATCTACTGGCCACAAATAAACTGCTTTGTGTGACTGCTGTTTGGTGGCTGTACGAGAAGAAAACCAGACCTGGATGAAGGTGTGTTTCCATATCCTGTGTCATGAACGTTTATTTACTTTTACTTTATACTTTTACTTGTTTCCATTTCAGCCCGCTGCTGCAGTTTGACTAAATCTGACCTCTCATGCAAGTCTATATAAAAGAAGGATTTTCCAAATAATAGTTATTCATTTAAACCCCACTTTTGAAATTCATTTTGATTATGTAATAACCAATTTTTGGATTTTAGATTTACAATGACAAAATGTCTCCACACGCGCGTGTCCAGGTAGTGGCCTACTTGTTGCACCCCATCATCCTAAACTTTCATCAACCATCTGCTGGAGGCGGCATCTTGGCCTAAATCGACTGTTTAAGGAGTAAACCGTACTCTTGTTTGTAGGTCCTGTTCAGTCTTTAATTAGTGAAACAGCCACCCAGCGGACTGACCTCGTCTTTGCATACAGTTGGAAATATTTTGTAGTAGTGTATGACAACATTGCATATCAATTTCAAATCAAGATGTCCCTTGACCTCGGTCTGTTTGTTCAGGACATCCTGGGGAAAACAGCAGCCACCTTGGCTCTGTATGATGTGTATAAGAATGAGGCTCCATCATGACGTATTCTTGAGGTCACGAACTCTATAGCGTCTGGGTGGATTCTAGCTTGTGATATGAACAGGAAACTGCCTGAAAACAGCAATTATGTCTTGTTACAGATAAACAGTCTTCACAGCCA